GGTGCGATTGATATCTGCAATGATTTCGAGCACATAATAGGAGTACTAGTTAATCAACCATTGATATACTCGTATTATAAGACTTCTTTCACACTATAAAGTTTTTGAAATTAAACTAAAAATCGATGAATATCAAAATATTTTTACTAGGTAGTTTAATTTTAACTAGGTGGCTTGATAAGACGTCTAATCATACAATGCGCTGTATATAATATATTATAATGCTATTATTTACATGCAACACTATAAATAAATGTTTCAAGACCTTGACACCCTGTATTTATTAATGCAATAAAATTTAAACAATATGTTGGTAGAATGGTTTGACTTACTTTTTATTATTATTATTTATTATTTTTATGGCCTAAGAGCCTGTGAACGCCAGGCCTTCGTCATTTTATAAAAACTGAAAGTTTGTTAGCGCATGCTCCCAACACAGATAAGAACGATGGACCATTATGAAGTTCAGGCTATGGTGGCTTTGGAAGGTACACGGTACTAAAGGTGTGTAAAATACCGATCTAAATTCGTAAAATAATAAAGTGTGATTTTTTGGTATTACCTTCAGAATATTATTAAAAATCACGTCATACAATGCCAGACACTTAACATCGTGACAAACCCTTGCCAGACACCCTTTTCATGAAATCATAATTCTACTTACGTTATAGTATAAAAGCTGATTTTTATATATAATACTTGGGTAATAATTAGATGATTTATAAGACTGCTAGCTTAGCATTTATTACACACCACCAAAAATAAAGTCAAAGTCTTAGCGCTTCAAATTTGGTGACCATTTGCAACATTTTCTTAGAAATGCCTCCCAATTTGTTTGGAATATTTTTCATGGTGTGTAATAAATGCTATGCTAGCAGTCTTATAAATCATCTAATTATTACCCATACATAATATTGTGCAATTCGAGCTAGCAGTTAAGCGCCTTAGGGCGTATGCACACTCAGTTCCATAACGTACCGACATGCGTATATTCTGCGCTGATTTTAATAAACGCAGATTGTTTGCGTTTGTATCTTGTCTTGTAAATATACGAGTACGTCAACATCGCGTCCAAAAGTTGCCTTGTTTGTAGGGTCTTAGGTATGCTTTAGTTACTGTGTAATTTTAACAGCTGTATAGGTTTTGAAATATAAATTAATTATATTCAAGCGAACTAGGAAATATTTTTACCATCGTGAACTATGGTTCTTTTATTTATTTTTATGAGCTCTAATATGTATTGTTAAGAGTGCACTCTTTCTACAGGGACGCTATATATACCATATCTGAAAATTAACATATATTTATTTTTATATATAATACACTTCATCGAACACTTTATAATATGTGACTTGAAAATATCCTTATTGCTAAAAGCCATCTTTTCCAGGCTTCCAGCAACCTAGTTGTTATACACATGATAGATAAAAAATTAAATTTTAAAATAGTATTTGCTGATAATCGAGGGAAAGTCACCTTGTTAATTGTATTGTAATTAAATACAACAGCAATCTTTTAAAATGATAAACATTCTTATAAACAACTAGCACACTGCACAAGCACATAATTAAAATGTTTTATATGTTAAAATGATTTTTTTTGTTCGATGACACGTTTGGCTCAGTTTGTAGTGACCCTACTTGCTGTGCCAGCGGTCACGGGTTCGAGTCCCGCTGGGGGTATTCATTTGTGTAATGAGTGATATAATATGTATTTCTTTCAAGTTATATATGTGTAGTGTATCAACTATCTGGTATCCATAACACAAGCCTCGTAGCTTACCATGGAACTAGATGGCGCTGTGTATTAATATCCCAACATATTTATTTATTTTTAATATAATTACTATATAATTACCAAACCCAGAAGATCCGTGAGCGATTATGAAATAATTTGCATAATAATTGCCGTTCGAAATAAAATTTTATGGAATAATCAATTGATATTGAAGTTCATGGTTTCACAAAATTTGCAATCATACGCGATTACAATAGAGTAAAACTAATAAAAATTGATTGAATACGCAAATGAATAATAAAAGATATCAAAATTGCACATCATAACATCGATTCTTACGATTTACGCGTAGTATAAATTGTGATGTACTAATATACCCTTAAATATGTCTGCTTTAATTTACATTATTAACTAGCCTATACAGCCAATATAGTAGCTTCGCTTACTAAAATATTCTCCGTACTCAAATATCAATATGTACCAATTTTCATGGCTATGAGTTGAACGATGAAGATACGCTGGAGTACCATCTAATGGCAAATCATAGTCAACTGGATAGCAAGAAGACCTTAATATATAATACTAGCGACTCACCATCGCTTCGCTCGGGTTCGTCAGTTGGTCGAATCCCCATACAAAAGAAAAGATGATATCCAGGATAAAAAGTGTTTGTCGTTCCCAGTGTCTCAAACTATCTTTTTACCAAATTTCATCTAAATCGGTTCAGTAGATACAGAGATTACCCCCTACAACGTCACAAACTCACAATTCACAAACTCACAAACTTTACCTCTTTATAATATTAGTAATATATAGATAAGCTTTTAGAGATGTGTAAAATTAAATTTGTACATAAATTTAAATTAAATTTGTAAAAAACTGTACTAATAAAAAAAAATCGTGGTTCCATTTTATTAGCGATTAGCTTCGTTCGAAGACGCCTCTCGGTGCCTTTTGTATTTATAATATACCCAGATAGCATGAATTTTCTAATAGTAGCCTATGTGTTTTTAAAGATTATAGGATTATAGTCAATCTGTGTACTAATTTTTAAAATCTGTCCAACTGTTTCAACGTGAAGAAGAAACGAACACATAGGTACATTCGTATACGTATTCAGCTCCTTAGAACGTCCCACTGCTGGGCACGGACCTATCTTCTATCCGAGAGGGATTAGGCCATGGGGGCCTAGTGCAGGTGGGCGGGCCTCACATGTCTTTCGAAAACTTGCTAGGATCTCTCAGACATACAAGTTTCTTCACGATGTTTTCCTTAACCGTAAGACAAGTAGTAATCAAGTTGGAAATGATTAGCACATGAAATTATCAGAGGTGCGAGATCAGGGATATGAACTTACTATTCTTGGTTTTCCAAGAGAACGGCGCCACTGGGATACCAGTACCTTACATATTACATACACACGTATTTATTTACATACCGATTATTTTTCTGCATAACATTTCAATATATAAATTAAAATGCGAGTATTTGTGGAACTTACAAAGTAATAACTGTTGTAGAACTTGTCTATAACTAATGTATGCAAACGCATGAAGTTGTCCTTCAAAGTTGAATATCTTGATCGTATTATCCGATGCGAACATCCATTTTATGTGTTCGACCCATGTCGACACGTGCTATGTCTGAGGCTCTAAATTGCTTAACTTTAAAAGGCTTCTTTATAAATTAGTATAATGCAAGTATAAAAGTATCTTGAATAAGGAAATAATAAAGAATGTGCATGTTTTGTATAAAATATTGTAAGAAGTTGTAAATTTTATAACTTGAAGTATTTATGACATGGATGTATGTAATTATCATTACCTGGTGGCTTACCTTCGGCTCGCTTGGGTTCGCCCTTAGGAGAGACGATTTTTCTTACTCAATTCACAAACATTTTTATAGGTATAGGTTATTTTTCCAGAAAATTTATAAATGATATTCTATAATCTTCTTCGATAATTCTTCTTTCTATTGGTTGGCATGTTACATTCTTCCGAAATTAAACCGAACCAACTCTTCGAAAATCTTATTGAAATAGACATTATTATCGATACAGAGGCCGAATCTATAGTTTTTAGAATTTTTGTCTGTCTGTCTGTTATCGCATCACAAAAAAACTACTGGAGGGATTTTGATGAAATAGGGTATACTCATAGCTGGTTATCCGGGTCAATATATAGGACAATTTTTACCCCGGGAAAATATCTTATTTCTGAGAAAAAATACAAAAACTGATTAGAATAAAACTACGATGGTGCTATATAGTATATTTTAGCAAGGTAACTTATTAAATAAAGCAAAAACTATTAAAAATAGCTTATCTTGAAAAAAATAACAATATCGCTTATTTATTTCGTTTTGTGGGCGGAGCCGCGGGCAATGCTAGTTTATAATTTGTAGTGTATTGAAAAATTTAACTTTACATGCCTTTGTCTCTTTAGATATTAAAATAAAAAAACAATAAAAGCTCAAACTCAGTACGACCAATAAGATTTGACAAACTAATAATTGAGCCTATTTCTTAAATTATCTATGCAAATATTACATCACAGTGTTACATATTACAACAGTCCACTACACAAGATACTATCGCACGCATAACATTTATTGTAATGAAATATCAAGCTCCATTTACGCGATACATCGTGATGGACTGAGATTACTTACCAGTTCACCTTTTTACTTAAGTTTTCATAATCACAACTTGTAATGTGATAGTTAAAGTTGAAGTTTAATAATTAAATCTATTTTATTATTAGCTTTTAGATACGGTTTTTAGTTCACCGTCTTCAGAAAAGGATGTAATGATCAATTTAGGTGTGATAGGGTATTTTTTTTAATAAATACATGTTTACATATATTCATTAATTTTTTTATTATTTTTTTATTTGTATGAGACTGGTATTAAATAATAATGAAATATATTCAGCCCTTCTTAACGTCCCACTGCTGAGCACGGGCCTCCTTCAATATGAGGGGGATCAGGCCATAGTCCACCACTCTGGCCAAGTAGGTTGATGGACTTCACATGTCTTTCGAAAACTATAATAATGAATTATTGAGATTAGATGAGCTGTGAAATATTTATTTTCAAATGTTATCTAATGGGCTAAGTCGAAACTTATATGTAGATATATCTCAATCTATATGATGAAAAGGAGTACGGATGTCTTTTGGATTGTCATTTATTATATTTTTTTATTGTTTATAAAATTAACATTCTTTTTATTTAATTAATAAGTAACATTTATTTGTTTCAGATTAACACTTTCATGATAAGGTAGCACAAGTGAGAAGGACATATCATGATTTTCACCCTTAACTTCCAAGTAAGTTAGTATAATAATATAGTAGAAAAGAATAAAATTAATGATTTCAATTACCATATTGTTTCGTACGCTATTACACTGGTAATATATCGATCAAAATGTGCTCTTAGTATGCAAGACCGGAGCATGTTCACATACTGAATTAATTTAGTGTATTTATTCAATTACATCGTTGTTTCATTAAAAGGTAGAACATGTGAATGTAATATCCATTATTCTGATAATGTTTTTGATTACGTCGAAATGCTTCAAGTCCCTAGAACTAAACTTATTGCTAAACTGTTTCAATGCACGGTGAACGAACTTGAGTAATTTAACTGAGATAAGCAATAAAATCATCAAGATGATTCGATAAAGCGTAAGACTTATTAAAAGCGATGGAAACACAAGGCTATGAATAGATGTGTTAATGTAGCAAAAACAATGGTAATTGCAATAACTACGTATTTAAACTAGAATTGCTGTTTGAAATTTTTGCATAGGTAGCAGCTTCGATTCCCCTTTCAGATAAGATATTACATTTAAACAAAAGTTACACTTTGCAAACTATTTTAATGGCCTTTGTTAGGTTGATTTGATTGTTACTTTATTTAAAGAAAAGTCAAGTATTTTTAATTTGCTTGGTTTCATTTTTACTATAAGTAATTACAACAATATTATAAATGCAAAAGTTAATGAGATGATATGATAAGATTTATAAAAAACATACATTCAGATATTCTGTAAATCCTAGCTAAGCTCAAATACTGTTTTCTTTAAAACACAACCGAATGATGTGATGTACTTGTTTTAATAGCTTATGGGCTTAAAAATGATATTGCCTACTTTTCATTTCCAAATAGACTGAGTCACTGAGTTCCCAAAAAGCTAATTACTCGTAGGTTATATTACCGAATTATAGCGAAAATGAAAATAATGGTAAAAATGCATGCACAGCGCTTATAAATTAACTAGCGACTCACTTTCGCTTCGCTCGGGTTCGTCCCTAGGTACGTTTTAACGGTTAGTATGAAATTGATATTGCCTTCTTCTATCAACGGGCATTCTAATGCAAAAAGAATTTTTCAAATCGGATTAACAGATTAGCGCGTTCAAACAAACAAACAAACAAACAAATAAACAAACAAAAACAAACTCTGCCTCTTTATAATATTAGTATAGATATGAACAATTTGTAAATAAATTTTATTTAGCACTCAGACTACTATCTATTTTAGATTATCATACCTGGCACGAAAGCCTTTAAGAATTTAAAAGCATCATTTATTCAGTAATCATGTAAATTTGTTACACCGCCCACATTTCAAAACCAAAGTAAATGGCCATGTTACATCGTTCAGTTTCATTATTGGATGTCTCTATTTGTAATAAAATTGTTTAGAGATAGGAAGAGCCGCGTGAGAAAAGATAAGCATTCGTAATAGTTCCAAGGCTGTGAGACTTGGTTTTGTTGGACTATTAATTAATATATGATCGCCTTAATAGTTACTTTAAATCTGTATCATTATTCTAGTCACACGTATAATTAAGTAGGTTCGTACGTAGATTATTGTTTCAAGGCATATTTTTATAAAAACACACAATAATAGACTCATTACAATGTTACAAGTGCAATTTTTCATAATATAAACTGGAATTGTTAAGTTGCTTCAATACACTCACTTTTGGTTGACGCGGATAAATAGATATTCTCACTCGTAATTCGAAAGACGTTAAGCTTCCGTTATTGAAAATCAAACATAGCTTACGGGAATATCTATACATATAATAAAATTGTAACTAAGTCGAATCTGTACATTAGATATTTTTTGGAAAATCTTATTGAAATGAACATTATTATCGATACAGAAGCCGAATCTATAGTATTTAGAATTTTTGTCTTTCTGTATTTCTGTCTTTCTGTCTGTCTGTCTGTCTGTTACCGCATCACGGAAAAAATACTAGAGGGATTTTGATGAAATTTGGTATGATGATAGCTGGTTATCCGGATCAACATATAGGATACTTTTTACCGCGGGGAAATATCTCATTTCTGCGAAAAAATACAAAAACTGCAATATATATGAATATGTAAAATCTAATTTGGTCATCTGAACGTGGGAGGAGCCACGGGCAATGCTAGTATTTTATAAGATGTTATGCACACACTTGTGAATATTTAATCAGAGATTCACAGATTAAGGTTGAAATATCGCCGGATAAACAAAAGGGAATAATAACATTTTAAAATCAAGATATAAAGACTTTGGCTTTGGAAGACCTAAAGCTAGGCTTTATGTTAAGAAGATCGTAATATCAAATTATGTCAAACCATCAAATCATTCTATATTTATAATGGTTAGATACTCGTAGGCTAATTCCAGACCAAACTTCTTTAGATAGGGGCTCGGGTGCGTCCTTAGTTACGTTTAAATAGATATAAATAGTTATTGCGAGTGTACTTTAGGAGAAAAACTTATGCTATAACTTAGATTTTTGCATGTCAATCTTGCTCTGTGAATAACAAAAACAAATCTATCGCACGGGAAATGTTTTATCCGGGATGAAAAGTAATCTATGCGCTATTCAAGACTATAATCTATCTCTATGCCAAATATCATCCAAATCTGTTCACCGTGGTGTGATTGAGTAACAAACATCCATCCACCCAAACTTCCGCATTAATAATATTTGTAAGATAATTGAAATTGTTAATAAAAAGTCTATAATAACATTATATTTCCACAGGTGCTAACTTGCCTGGTGGTGTACGTGTCATGCGTACACGCAATCAAGGTGACTTTTGGTACTAAGAATGGGCCTATCGAGCCTCCGACGCCCGAGCCGCTGCCATCGCCGCAGCCGTTCCGGGTGCCAGCTCCTGTCTGGGAACAAAGATCTGATGATTCACCAGACCCTAATGCTCATTGGTAATGCGCTGTTAATGATTCGGATGATACCAATTTCTATGTGTAATATTTATAATATAAATTCTAAATAGTCTAGCCGGCCCAGGTGGTCTAGCCGTTAGCATGTATGGCTGCAGGAGGTCCTAAGTTCGAGTTTCGAGTCTTTTCCAGGGTCTCAAACTATCTTCTTATCAAATTTTATCTAAATCGGTTCAGTATATCCAGAGATTACCCCGTAGAACGTCACAAGCTCACAAACTCTACCTCTTTATAATATTAGTATAGATTAGTGAGATTGACGAAATCGATCAAGATTATTATTTATTTAATTAAGACTAATTTTAAAGTTACATTTTCTAACATAATATTACTGTCGAATATTTAGTATAATATTACCTCAATCATCTATCTTTTGAATAACTTATTGCTCAATATGTATAAATCACAGAGCAAAGAGATCTATGTTCTCATATCAATGAAAATGATGAAACCAGAATTCTATTAGTATTCAAAAATTAAATATTTATTTACAACGGATTAGTATTATTTTGTACGAGTATATATGGTGGTTTTTATATACTTAATTAATAATAATTTTAGATAGCTTCTCCATTATGATCCACACGTAGTCGATTGAATGGAATTTAAGGTCAAACTTTAAAATTATAGGGGTCGTGGGCGAAAGCAAGTATTTACTAAAATTGCACTATTTTTGTTACTTCTTCATGCTAAAATGGCCAAAGGAGCTTAAAAAAATTTGGGTGCCCAGATAGATGAGTGTAAATTTGTCGAAAGGTGGCGCTGCCTGCATTATGCATATAATAATATTATTAATATAAAATGTACCAATTGTCCCAAGAAAACGAGTGTAAATTGCTAGTATATGAATATATTTTTAAAGTATACTATTTTTCACAGGAGACCTCAGCTTTTCAAGCCCCAGCCGAGGTACACTGAAATTATTTTTGCTGTGCCCTCTCAACCCCAGCAACTTCAAAACAACGCACTGCGTTTCGTCAACTCATACAAACCAGCTCATCAGCCAATTCAAGCGCAACCCGTTCGAGATTATTTCACACCATCCCAAATACTTAGTTCTCAGAGCCTACCAGGCATCGGTCTTCGCTATCTCGTCCCCAAATACATAACTGAACTGCAAGCAAGGAAAGAGCAGAAGAAGCAGGAAGATGCAAAACATAATGATATTGAAACAAATGATATATTTGGACCAAATAAGGAATCTAGCAGTGATCTCCTTTGGAAATATGAAAAGGATTCCTCGAAAAGAAACTTAAGACACACGTTAGAAGTAAGTAAATAAAAATTTATGTCAGCTCATGTATTTTATCTTGTTTGTTCAAATGTCAATAGATAGTTTGGATATAAATTAGTATGAAAGTTGATTTATAATTTTAGAAGTATTTTTTTTGTTTAAAAAGTTATTATTTTGATAAGCCTGAATAAATTTCTGATTTGTCATAATTTCGAAATGTTTCTATTTTAGGGCACAGCAAGACCCATCTATGTGTGGCCGGCGTACGTGCAACCTAGACATTAATATGAATTAGTTTAGTAGTCTTTAGGTTATATCTTGTGTAAGTACCACAGAAGGCAATGTGATTTAAAGAGAGGAGTAAGGAAATGCCAGTATTAGATATTCTTTATTCCATAATATCTTTCATAATATTCAGCTTGAAATTCGATACAAAATGATTTTATAATAGTTCAACATTTAGATAAATATCGATTATACATAGATAAATACAATTATATAAAGGTTATGTAAGTTAATATTGTTACATGACACATCTTTTCTTCTCCACTCGATATAACTGAGCTTTTGACCTTATGATTTGAAGAACTTTATTTACTTTTCAACGTTTAATGAGGTGAATTTGTTTAGTTTATTTACTTTTAGGTAATATAACACAGCCAAATTAAAGAGTGTGATTTTTAATGTGGTACAGGAACTATTTGGAACACATGATGGCCTTGTAGAGTAATTTTTATCCTCTTAGATTATTTATATATTTCTCAACTATTTCTTTTTTACATATTTATATCGTTTTCTAAATTTATTATAACGACATCTAAAAATGTTGTCGATTATCTTTATTATCACTATAAAATATAAATAATTTGGTACATATGATGTTTATGCTAAAAAGAATTTAAATGTTGCAATGGATTGATTTACATATGTTTTTATTTTAATATTTTTTTATTCAAAATGCATTAATCCAGTAGTTATGTAAAAATGAGAAAAAGATAATCTTTAATATTTTTAGATAGATATTTTAAAGTAAAAGTGCCAGATGTTGTAAGCATTATTTATTAAACGTACTTGTATTTTATATGTCTATTTATCACTTCATAGCTACAGATTTCGCACTATAGACGGAAATATTTTACTACCTTCTCTTTGTATCTAATATACTATTCATATATTTTAAATTACTCCAAATCTTTAAAATTATTATTTTGGTACGTTTTCTGTCCGATATAAGATATGTATATAATACAAAATTTGAGTGTGTTATTTATTTATCTATAAGTCTCTTATTACCTGGCTGTAGACAACCTTTAACACCAGTAGCGCGTGTCGCACTTAAAATTATAGGTGTACAAAATTTGTCCTCAATTCTCAAAATGGTCGATTGATTTACAGTAATTCGATACAAGTGTCAGGTTTAGAATCGAACATTACACGTTACAGTTTAAATATTGATGTATTGCGAAGATTGAACAAGAAATATTATCGGTTTGACTATGTTTTATATTTTTTTAATATTTATGTATTTTGCTCTTTAGTAGATTATGGTTCTTTTAATTACTCTCTGGCCAAATTAAAAATTGTTGGTAATCTTATTGTAACATTTTTTGTAACAAAGTCGACATTTTTAATATAAAAACTACATTTTGATGAAAGTTATGATATAATGGTTATATAAATATGAAATATTGTTCTACATGTTCGGTTATTACACGGTAAATCATTTCGTCATTTACCGAAACAGAGATAGAGAAAACATCATTAGATAGGCAAAGGGCTTGTATACATGTGCAGTAAAATAAATGTCATTATAATATTTTTATTAAGCCTATAATAGATTAGATATTTTTTTTTATAACCTGAATGTTATGCAAAATTATAATAAATATATTAATGTTTTTTTATGTATTCAGTTCGTTCTAACGTTCCACTGCTAGGCACAGGCCTTCATCAATACGCGGGGATCAGGCCATAGCCCACCACGCTAGCCAAGTGCGGTTTGGCAGACTTCTCTCTAAATTCTCTCAGACATACAGTTTTCCACGATGTTTTCCTTCATCGTAAGACAAGTTTAAATCATGTTGGATATAATTTGCACATGAGAATATCAAAGGTGCGAGACCCGGGATTTGAACCTGCTTCACTTAGTTTCCCAAGCAAGTGCGTTAATAACTGCCTTTATAATATTTTTAATTCATAATATAATGTGTATTAAATTTAATTAGATTGATACAATAGCCGAACGGAAGCTTACGCGTTGACAAAAACTACAACATTAAGCTAATATACCGGCACTAATCATATTACAAAGTAATTTGGGAAAGTACCGCAATGTGAACACTTGCCAAACATTGTTTAGATACGTTATTTGTAATGGCACAGCGTAAATAATGGTTACATCTTCTTTTTTAACCAATTTTTATTGTTCCAAATCTTTTTAATGCATGAAATAAATACATAACTATTGTTAAATATTTTTAATTATCTTGTTTAGTTTGCTATTTCTATATAGAGATAAGTAATTTTCAGGAATAACTAGGCATTAAGAAATTATTTTTATACTATTTGTGTTTTGTTACTACTTAAGTATATAAAAGGCTATAAATGAAATGTACCTATGCTTGTAAATATGTAAAATAAATATTTTTTACAAAGTATGCTTGGTTGTTTTTTTTTATCCAAGATATTATGTTTAGCGATACATATAATAAAGTTGTAAAAAAATTAAGTTTGGAACATGTTAAGCGTTTTGGTTTGACTAACTTCAAAAAAGAGCTATACAATTAGCGTGTATGTTTTTTTGTGTATGCGCGATATCAACCCCAACTGAGAACAAATAGGTTTTGTGATTTTTGTTGACACAGTATAAAAATTCATTGAATATATAGTAGTATAATTATACTACAAACAAATCTTTGTAGATTTGCCAAAAGGTGCAATTTTCATGAAAGGCAGTTTCAAATATGTAAAGGCCTTTGTTAGACGACTTAATTAATTTTAATTAAAGAACTATCTTTCCACAATAGGGAATATGAGTGTTTTTTTTTGTTCTTTATACAATAGCTTACATTGTTACATAATTTGAAAAATATATCCAGCTCCAAAGAAAAACTGAAATTTAGTATAAAAAATAAATAAAAATTACATACACATAGGGATACTTTAAACGCCTACCGTTTTGGCGCGCTTGACGTGACGTCATAGTCTATGATAATCCTGCAATAAACGAATGAACAGTCTAGATTGTTAGTACCAATCGCATACACCAAACAATTGTGCTCTATTATAATAGACTTTGACGTCACATTCGGCCTGATCAGTGGCGTTGCGTTTCAACTACTTTGAATTTTGCACCTATTTTTGCACTTTTCAATAATTATTTTATTAATCAAACAGAAATTACATTAAAAAATATTGATATAGGCTTAAATCCGAAGCAGTAAAGATTATAAAAAAATGTTTCACCTGTTAAATCACACGCATATTTCCTATTGTATCCTTTCCTATTATTTCCTACCACTATCAAATTTTTCGTAGGAAAAAAAGTTGGGCGTCTTGTCAAAACGAAGCTACTCGTGAAGTTTCAACATGTTATTAAGAAAAAGACGTGGTGTACTGTAGACTATAAATATCACATATGAGCTCTATTTTCATTACGTATATATATGTATTTGTAAATATTATTGATATGTGGTAAATGAAATTTGATTATAAAAATACTTTATTATAAAAGTATAAAAAATACATATATATTCATATAAATGATAATAATTGCAATATGTTAGGCGATAATCGTGTTTTTTGTCAACCAAAACCGCCTCGTGAGAGAATTGAACGACAACTTAGTATAAACACTTTTATAGTCATTACAATGTAATTGTATTTAAAAAAAAAAATACTTAGTATATAAAAAATAGTATCGAAGTCAGTAAACTGTTAACATCGTTTAATTCTTGCTCCTCAAAAACTTGTGTAAAACTGTGTTTAACTTGAGTGTATTAAAGTTTGTTTACTTTTCTGGACATGCTTAAAGGACTATATAATCTGTTAGCAACTTTTAATGTGTTAATTGTGTGTTTTATATCATAAATAACTAAATAATTAAATCTGTTCACTGTCAACTTAAGTTTTTACAAACCTGTTGTTCATAACGCGTAAGCGACGCGTTCTGCACGGCGCTTACGACATTTTTCTCGCGAGTGCAGTCCTCATCGACGCGACGGAACGAACTACAGTGGCCTACCGTGCAAAGTTTTATAATAATCGCTAAATCGTTGGAAACAATCTATTGTGATTTTTACCTTTTGGGCTGTAAAGAGATTAAAATTTAAAATATTATTAATAATAGTAACCTGGGATCTCGGATTGATAACGCCCCTAAAACAATAATTAAAGTACAGAAAATAAAAAATAATTAATTGATTAGTAACATAAATTGAATAAATAAATATGTCCTTAAAATTAGTAAATTGGGGATGTTGTTCTCAAGAAGACAAAGATGATAACGAAAGATTCATAACTTGTAACAGCTGCAAAAAATCCTTTCACTTTTTGTGTTTGTCGATACCAGAAATACAATCAAATACAGACATTTATAATAAATGGAAATGTCCTTCGTGTTTGAATCGGATGCCTAAAACGTCTAAAAAGGATTCTACCCCTGTTCGTAATATCTCCACAACACGAGGCAACAAGAGGCCTGCACTGAACTCACCACCAGAAGAACACAGCTTAACCAGTGACAGAGTACGTGCTATTGTTGAAGACGTAGTAAAGACTGAGTTGAGTGCTATGATGGAAAAGCTAAAGTGCAGTATGCTCGACATAATAAATAAGGAATTGACACCAATTAAAAAAGAAATAAGGGATATGAACGAGTCTATGACTTTTATCAACAGCAAATTCGAATTGATCGAAGCCGACCAATTAAACGCGAATAAACTCCTAAAAAATATACAGGAAGATAACAAAAAGTTGGAAAGCACAGTGGCAGATTTAACACAACGTCTGAATTACTTGGAACAGCAGTCTCGTTCAAACAACATTGAAATCCAATGCGTCCCTGAAAAGAAAAGCGAAAACCTATACACTATCGCGAAGGCCTTATGTACAGCTGTCGGACATGAAATAAAGGAAAAAGATATACTGCATTGCACCCGTATAGCCAAACTTAATAAATCCAGCACTCGTCCTAGATCTATTGTCACTCAACTGGCTTCTCCCAGGGTACGTGATGATCTCCTCGCATCAGTTATTAAATTTAATAAAATACATGCTAATAG